TTTTTCCAAGATTCCATGAATTATTGGAACAGAATACAGTTGAATTTGTCAATTCGAAATGATTAACAAATGGTAGATTAATATTTTTGGTATAAATTTATTTTTGGTACTTTTTTTATTATTTATCTATTTGTGAATTTGAATCTAATTAATAAATTAAAATAATCATAAAAATGATAATTTATCATGTATATATAAAAATATAAATTTAATATATAACGTGTCCCAACGTATCAGAATTCTCTATTTTTTTTAGAAATGACGTGTTAGCGTGTCGTGTCGTGTGTCGCGTGTTGATGTCGATGCTACTTAGGCCAACACTAACATGGACAACTTTTATTTACTTAAAAAAATTTGAAATTTTCCTTTTTTTCCTTTTCTTTTTCTTTTGCCATGGTCAACGATAAGCTGCAGGCAAGGGTCGCCCTCTCAACCTTTAGCAAGGTGAGGGCAACCCTCGCCCTAACTAGGAGGGTCAAGCCTGTGTCAGATTTGGCAAGGCCGTGATGCCCTCGTTAACCATGGCCAAGTACAGGCCACGGGTGAAAGGAAAAGAAAAGAAAAAGGAAAAAAATTAAAAAAATTTTAAAAAGTAAAAATTGTTCACATCAGCGCCAATCACGTCATATAAGGTGGCCGATAGACAACAAGCGTCCACATTAGTGATTTCGGTCAAAATTGGCTAATTGTCTACTTTCTGGACTATTATCCCATATAGAGATGGTCCAAAATGATGGTTTTGAGCTAGGGGTGTGCAAAAGAACTGGAAACTGCCCGAAATCGAATTGAACCAGCCTAGAACCGGTTGTTCCCATGGGGATTGATTAGGTTCCTAGTTCCAATTTACTAGAATACAACCCACCCAGACCAAACCGGTACATATGTATATTAATTTTTATGTTTACAAATCAAAACCCTAGTCTCCTATTTGTCTCACTCAGTCTCTTGCCTCACTCATTTCGTGGCCTTGCCTCCCTCTCTCACTCTCGCTGTTGGTGGCCTTTGGCCTCATCGATCCCTCTCTCACTCTCGCTTTCGGTCGCTAGAGAAAACAGGGCAGCTACTCTGAACCCACAGCCACACTGGTCAATTTGGCAGCAAGAGCGACGACACCTAGACATTGAAGACCACCAAGTTTGATCGAGAAATACATAGCAAAGATCACGGGCAGCAAGTAGCAGTAAGTAAACTCCATAAACCGTGAAGAAAAAATCGGCAACGAACAAGGACCAACGGGAGCTTCTAGCAGCGAATCATAGATTCATAGTTGAAATGCCGTCGTATGGAGGCGGTGGTGCGAGCGACGAGAGACAACAAGTGCTGTGAAGAACTAGCAGCTTCGTCGATGGAGATCTCAGCAAAGTTTGGCACGAGGCTGCTTCGTAGCTCGGCAAAGCTCACAGTTGGCTTGAAGTCATCACGGCAAAAGGCTAGCGTCATCGATAAGGCGACGGTAGTGTGGTGCTCGGCCATGTGAGCTCTCGGCAAAGATGGAGCTCGTCGAGGACATGATGTTGCGGTAGTGTAGGGCTCATGGAGAACACTAGGTGAATTTGTTGGGGACATTTCGACCGGTTCAAAGGACCCACCCGGAAACTGGGCTGGCACACCTAATCCCCTTCCACATCATACCAAATCCTTCAATTTTTTACCCTTCATGTCAAGTGATTTTTCCTGCTCATCTTAATTCACCGAATCAAGAATGAAAATAGCGGTCCGGGTGCACAATGGCCTCCACCATTACAAAGGAAACCAAGGGAGCTTTTAAATTCTAGGAGTGAAAGGAGCCTTTGATTCACTCACTCTCTCACTCTTGTCATGATTTTCCCATATGAAAGGGAGACTTTAATTACTCCTGCTATTTGTGACCACAGCTAGGGATCAAGTTCAAAGCCTGTGTGGTCTGTGAATGGAAAGACTGAGCTAGGTAGGGCACATGGGCATGGACGGTGTCTTGTGGCTCGTATATTTCAAATCAAATTTCCTCGTTGGGCAACCCCCTGATGAGCACTCTGTGTTCATAATTGGTTAAATGTACTATCAAATTTTCCAATTCATGGGCCATGAAATTCACCAATCATGCACAGCACATGGGCATGGATCGTGTCTCGTGGCTCGGATATTTCAAATCAAATTTCTTCATTGGGCAACCCCTTGATGAGCGCTCAGTGAGCTTAAATGGTTAATGTCCTATCAAATTTTCCAACTCACGGGCCATGAAATTCACAAATCATACAGATAACATCTCTCTCTCTCTAAAAGGAGTGGAGGGAGGTGCACCGCAGGTTCCTGGTAGCAATCACACGAGAGAGGGATAGAGAGAGGAGGGGGGGTTGGGAAGCCACTGGTTCCTCGTAGCAATCACACGAGAGAGAGGGGAAAGTGCATGACTTTACCCAAATGATTGTGTGAGAGAGAGGGGGATGAATGATTGGAGTGCAAGACTGGAAGCGCGGAATCTGCAGTGCACCTCCCTCCGCTCCTTTTCTAATTGCTTTTCTTTTCTTCACTCCCCCTCATATTTGTGTTGTTGTTGCCATGCTTCCATTAACTTTCCAATTCTTTTCAGAATATATATTTTTTCTTCCTTTCCCTTTTCATGACAACATCATAGGGGTGGCTAATTTGCTCAAGACATTGAAATTTTTTTTTTAAAGAAACTTCCCTTTTCATGTACAGACATAAGTAGAAAGATAAGTGAAACTAATAGATTTCTCACTACAAAAAAAGTTGGTTTTAGACACGAATTTTGCCACGAAAAATTTGGCAAAATTCGTCGCTAAACGAATTTGCGACGAAATTAGCGACGGAAAAAAATTCGTCGCTAATAGGCCGTCGCAAAATTTTGCGACGAAAAAAAATTCGTCGCTAATTATTCGTGGCAAAATTCGTGTCTAATTTGCCACGAAACAAAATTCGTCGCTAATTATTCGTGGCAGAATTCGTCGCTAATTTGCCAAGAATTGTATTCGTGGCAAAATTCGTCGCTAATTTGCCACGAAGTGTATTCGTGGCAAAATTCGTCGCTAATTTGCCACGAACTTTATTCGTGGCAAAATTTGTCGCTAAATATTCGTGACAAAATTCGTCGCTAATTTGTCATAAACTGTATTCGTGGCAAAATTCGTCGCTATTTTTTTCAAAAAAAATTTTTTGTTGGTCGCGAAATTGCGACGAAATAATTTCGTGGCAAAAATCGTTGCTAATTATTCATGGCAAAATTTATCGCTAATTTGCGACAAACACATTTCATGACAAAATTCGTGGCTAATTTGCCACTAAATTTTTTTTTGTCAGTTTTTTGCGACGAACTTATTAGTGGCAAAATTCGTGGGTAATTTAAATTACCCACCAAAATGAATGTATTTCATTTTCTTATTCGATTTTAAATGTAATTTAAAGCAAAATTAATTTCTAGAATTTGTATTTAACATTGATTAAGCACTTAATAACATCAAAATATTATAATAATATGAAAATGAAATACATTCATCTACATTTTCCATGTACTTGAACATATAGCTCAATGTGATCAAAATATTATAATAATATGAAAATGAAATACATTCATCTACATTTTCCATGTACTTGAACATATAGCTCAACGTGATCAAACTATTATAATAACATGAAAATGAAATACATTCATCTACATTTTCCATGTACTTGAACATATAGCTCAATGTACTTGAACATCCTTGGCAAATCTCCCCCTCCGCATATCAACACATAGCTCAATGTACTTGAACATAATCCTCTCAAGGGTATTTTGCCATGCTCGGGATCTCTTCGAGGTAATAAGATTGTGAAGTTCTTGCAGAGCATCTTGCTTCTTCTAGGATCCATGCAGAGCATTTTCTGGATCAGTGATAAGAATGCTGGATTGGCAATTTAATATCACTTCATACATTTCATTACATTGGTTCAGGGCACCAAAGGAGACATGATCTCGACCCTCATCTACAATTTTCAGTAGAGGATGGTCCATTACCAGTTTCTATAGGTTCACTGATAGCAAAACATACAATAAGGTCAACAGTGTAAAGATCACTCGCCTATCAAGGAATGCAATCAGACATCCATGAAGATATTTTTAACCCATCTTTGCAAACGCAGGGTGTAGTCCACTGTGAATAAGTCTAATGCATTAGCCATTTAATGGGGAAAAGTGCACAAACAGGACTCGACGTTTTGGTCGTTGCAGAATTAAGATTTATTATGCCATCCAGAAGATAGCACACCCAAACAAAAAGAACCAAGATAAGTTACTGCAATATTGTTCTGTAAATTAAAGCTCAAATAAGCTTATGACACCATTGTGAAAATCACACAAAGCATAAACCTCCACGAGGGTAAGAGAGCTCACTCACTTTTATCGTGCGGGTGTCCTTAGAAAATTCTGGACATGAATCCATGTGCTTTTTCAAATCCAAGTCCAAGTACTCAAAAACTAGATATAGACGCCTCTCACTGTGCACTACATCCTGCAACCTGCCACTCATAAGCGTATGAGCTATATTATGATTGAACCATAACAAAGACAAACAGAACTTGCATATTATTTATAGTGAATTAAAAAAAAAATTCATATATAAGCATTGATCAGTCTCCTCTACAAAATCCAGAACTACAGAAAAGCGACCTAGTGAATCAATTTATTGGTATGGACAACATCGATCATGCATTAACAGAGACTACTTGAAGCATCCAAATAGCGTGATTTTTCCATGTCAGACATATTAGACAGGATAATCCAAGCATCCAAATAGTGTGGTCATAATCGCTTGAATAGTTTATCACGTAATATCTATTTGCTTGCCACCATTCACAAGTGCTGGGTACTATTGCATTATCATGTGTGATCAGCAAGCATGACCAACAACATGGAAATTTAGCAAGCATTTACTAAATAAGATGCAGAGACTCTCCCAATGTAATTCATCAATAAGTTACATATTGCAAATAAAAAACTTAAGTAAATGATGACTTCCCTCTTCCAGTTAGCAGAAACTCATACGCCATAAATTGCAAGACCTTCTAGGCAAGAATATGTACCAGCTCAATTAGATTTCACAAACATGGACAGACTTGAAATTATAACTTCAAAAATAAAAATAAAAAACTAAGCGTTTATCCTAAGGGTTGGGTGTAACATCTTGCTCCTGATTCCGACACCTAATGTTGTACTTACAGAACAAAGTAAACCATCTTGAAGGATAACTTCCCACGTCTAGCTATACATCTTCAGGATTTTGCAGGAGCACACCCCTTACTTTTGACCTGATAGAAAATTGACGTTACTAGCCATACTGAAGTAGCTCAATCAGTAAAATCAATAAGAATAAACAGCTGAGTATTACCTCCTATGAGCAGGGACAACGCAATTAGTCACTCTTTTTGAGTTTGCATCTTGTGCTACTACTTTCTCTGAAGTTTGATAAGTAAAAAAAATGTAAGGTGGTTAGACTGAACAATAGATCATGAAAAGGCACTGAAAATCATCAGGCTTGACAGTCTGGAAAAGCTCCCCCTGCAAGTAATCGTACATGGTCAAGAGAGTTATGTAAATAAAGCAAGCTGATTAAATAAACTCAAATTACGCACACTCACTTCTATGACAGGAGGTTGACCCTTGAGTCCAACTTTCAAGTGGTTTTTCTTTATGTCGCATACCACAAACCTCCCTTTAGTACCCTTAGGAACTGGAACATGGACGGTAACCTCCTGCAGAGTCTGAGTCCAGGAATAATTCTCAAGATCAAGGCCATTGCCTTTGTTTGGCACTGTTCAACCAGAAACAATGTCAGAGCAACTACGGAGGCAACGTGGTATATTTTACAAAATATGTCTACTAAACATATGCATCCACCTTGTAAAAGGAATCATAACAAGACAGTCTCTTATAGAGTCACACTTTCCAAAGCACACTGGGTAACCTAACTGGTCATCTCAGCTAAAGCTATCTGAATCATACTCAATGCAAGAGCTAAAATCAGGCTCAGTTCACAATTTGGGCATGGGGATTGTCAAAGTCATAACTATTGGTCCATATCAAATGTTGATGCTGAGGTGGTCAAGTTATCACTTTTTAATTGGTCTTTAACAATTTTAATTATGAGTCCTAAATCTTTTGTCCAGCCATGCTAAATCCCAAAGGCTGAAAGGCACTAACCAATCCCGAAGTTCCACAAAACAATCAGACATTCTATGATTACAGTTGATCCATAATCAGAATCACCTAGTTTTCCAGCTCGTATGACCAAAAAAAAAAAACAAGATTACACTTGCGAAGTAGCTTCTTTTCCTAATTTCCAAGGAAAATGGGAGATCCAATCAAGCATAAGCACGCAAAAAAACTTGCAAGAACCAAACACTGCAACGAGAAGACATCGCCAAAACCAAAAGCAAGAAGCTTACAGCAAACCTTCCATCACTAGAGTACTTGAAAAAGCCAATGCACGCTTAAACAGATTATAGGAGAGATCAACACAAGAGAAATTTAATTATTCGGGAAAGTTCAGATTGCTGAACAAAGGAGCAAGTACCCATCAAAGAATATCCACACTTTAGCGAAATCGATAGCATAATAGAATGAAACATTTTCCCTGCCCATCGCCATTAAATAGCCAACCAGAGAAAAGATCCAAGCTATATAGATGACTACGGCCCCGAAACCGTCACAGCCTAACTATAGCAGGAGAAAAGAGCCACATCATGAGCGATCACTATGTAATGTACTTCTCATCTAATCTCCCAGATGTCTCAACCCCAGCAGCGTCTCGACAGGCACTCATCGCGCTCATGCGTAGCAAGCAACAAATCACGACACTGTCCAAGAAAAATCAAAAGCTCTTACCTATCGCTCCACTCTTCTCCTCCTTCTCTTCCTCCGCATCCTTCATCTCCACCTCCTGCACCTTCTTCTCTTCCTCCACCTTCTTAGCCGCAGCCGCCGCCGCCGCCGCCGCCGCCTTCGCCTTCTTAGCCCTCTCCCGCTCCCTGTCCTTCTCCCTCTCGATCTGCCTCAGCTTCTGCTTCTGCTTCTCCCTCACCGCCCTCAACACCGCCGCGACGTCCCTCTCCGCCGCCTCATGCGCGAGGAAATCGCTCCGCTCGGCCACGAACTCGAAGGCCTCCTCGATGAACCCCAGCGGGCTGGACGGATCGAACCTCGCGCTGAACTCCGCCGCGGCAGAGGAGGAGGCCGAGGACGTAGCCGAGGGCTTGGCCTCAGGTTGCTTCTCCTCTTCCTCCTCGAAGTCGGAGATGATCGCCATGGACGGTGAGCTCTGGGAGGGATCGAATCGGAGATTGCTCTTCTCTGGCTCGATTTCCTCTAGGGCTCCGGAGGCCACGGGCGAGGAGGAGTCGCGGGAGGAAGCGCGGGGGGGAAGGGGGTACCGAAAACCCTAGCGAGCGCGAGAGGTCTGCGGGTGTGGGGGAGAGGGAAGAAGGAGAAGGAGAAGGAGAATGAGAAGCGGAAGCAGATCTGATCTGATCGAGAGAAACGAAAAAGAGAGAGAGAATGGGGGGAGAGGGCGGGCAAATTGGGAGTAAGGGCGGGGAACTCGAAATTTGCGATCGACTTCTTTGTATTTTAGCGACGGACAAAAACGTTCGTCGCTAATTTTCCGTGGCTCAATTTACTTTTTGTAGTATAATTTTGCGACGGATTTTAATCCTAAAATTCGTGGTAAATTTATCACGAATTTTAAAAATAGGCTAGTAGAAATTAAATTCGTGGATAAATTCGTGGCAAATTTGTCACGAATTTTGCCACGAATTTCATAAAAAATTGCCCACACATGCCTAATTCATTTTTTCTCAAATTCGTGGCTAAATCCGTGGCAAATTTGCCACGGATTTATCCACGAATTTCATTTCTACTAGCCTATTTTTGAAATTCGTGGCTAAATCCGTGACAAATTTACCACGGATGTAGCCACGAATTTGAAAAAAAATGAACTAGGCGTGTGTGGGCATTTTTTTATGAAATTCGTAGCAAATTTGCCACGGATTTAGCCACGAATTTCATTTTTACTAGCCTTTAACGAAATTCGTGGCTAAATCCGTGGTAAAGGCGAGGCCGACCTCGCCCAACGCCGGCGAGGTCAAGCCTCGCTAGCGGCCGGGCGGGGCCAGTCCCTCGCCCAGATCCCGGCGAGGCCGAGCCTCGCTAGATTGCGTGGCGAGGCCGACCTCGCCGGCGTTGGGCGAGGTCGGCCTCGCCGCAACGGCGGGCCGAGCCTCGCCCGGATGGGCGAGGCTCGACCTCCCCGTTGCAAGGCGAGGCCGACCTCGCCCAACGCCGCAAGGCCGACACTCGCCTACGCAATCGGCGAGGTCGAGCCTCGCCGATGGGCGGCGGGGCCGACCTCGCCGGCTTCAGCCTCTGGCCGGTCGCCAATCGCGGCGACCGCCGCAGGTTGAAGAGAAAGGAAAAAAAAAGTAAAGAAAAATAAAAAAACAATTCGAAAAATAAAAATAATATTAAAAATTAGTTTGGGGTAAAATTGTCACATGTATACCAGTTTGGGGTTTTTTGTGATCAAAAAAATAGTTCGGGATAGATTTGTCACAAGCGTACCAGTTTGGGGTTTTTTATGGTTAAAAAAATAGTTTGAGGTAAAATTGTCACAAGTGTACCAGTTTAGGGTTTTTCGTGGTATTAACCCTAATAATAACAACAACAATACTAATAATTACGACAACAACAATAATAATAAATATGACAACAACAATAAACTCTTGTCATAATAATAATAATAATTACGACATAATTTGTAAAAAGTCTCAAAAATCTAAATCTTCATCTTCACCTTCGTTTTCATCTTGATTTTCATCTTCTTCTTGAGCTTCATTGTCGTCGTCGCCATCATCATCATCATCATCCTCATCATCCTTTGTCTCAAAATCAGATTCTGCAACACCTTTTAAATTTGATTCGCGAATTTCAATTAGATCTACATCTATCATTGCTCCACATGGATCTCGTAGAGTTGGAATGTTATATTCCTCAGTTTGAACCGTGTTACAAACTTCCTCTTGTTGATATGCTGTATCCTTCCAGTGTTCCTCGATTTTTTTTCGTGCTTTGGTTTTACATATAGCCAACCAATCAGCTTTGTCATGTTTCAAACTAGGATATGATGCATAATATACTTGAATTGCTTGTTGTGCCAACACAAATGGTTCATATTTCATATACCTTTTCTTGTGATTTATTTCAACCAAATTAACCTTCGTATGCACCTTCATTCCTTTGACGGGGTCGAACCACATGCACTTAAATAACACAACCCGCATTAATGGTCCGGGGTACTCTATCTCCATGATTTCATCCAACAAGCCATAAAAATCATCTTTTAAACTGCCACCATTGGATGACCGAACACACACACCACTATTCATTGTGGCTTTTCCCATTCCATATTCTTGAGTGTGAAAATTATACCCGTTTATGAAATATGCTGGCCAAGTTCGTACTCTTGACTTTGGACCCCATGACAGATAATATAACAATCCTTGCTCTTCAGCTTGATCATGATTACTGTGAACCTAAGGTCACACACGCAAAGTCAATAATATATATTTAAATGATGTATAAAATATTAATAACTTGATTTTGGTCCATAAGCAACTTACATATGTTTTGAACCATGCTGCAAATTGTTCATCGCACAAACGGTCAAACTCATTTGGTGGTAATCCATATATTGAAGTTTGAAAAATCCTATTAACAATTTACATTTATATATTAGTAAATATTTGACACGCAATTCATATATTAGCGACGAATTTATTTTTTGTTGCAATTTACGTCGCAAAATTAGCGACGAAAAAAAATAAGTCTCTAACTCCGTCGCAAATTAGCAACAAATACTTTTTCGTCGCAAATTCCGTTGCAAATTAGCGACGGATTTTTTTCGTGGCAAATTCCGTCGCAAATTAGCGACGAATTTTTTTTCGTGGCAAATTCCGTCGCAAATTAGCGACGACATTTTTTTTCGTCGCAAATTAGCAACGGAAAAAAAATTCGTCGCTAATTCCGTCGCAAATTAGCCACGAATTTTTTTTCGTGGCAAATTCCGTCGCAAATTAGCCATGGATTTTTTTCCATCGCAAATTAGCTACGAAAAATTATTCGTCGCTAATTTCTGTGGCTAAATCCTTGTTTTTTTGTAGTGTCTAATTCTATGTACACCCAATATCCGATATATCAATTGCAGGATTACATAATGTATATCATCAAAGATGCCAAGCTCACTTCCACGTGCTTGTAACCCGAGTGGGGGCACTATTGTGGCTCAGTTTCTACGTGCCAAGCCTGTTGGCCTACCCTTTACAATTTGCAATTGAATCGTAAATTTTTTACATTTTGCCAATTGAATTCATCCGACTAATTTTGACGAAAAATCGTTGGCATGGATACTGGTAATGCCACATATGATAGCCGACGCTGACGTAGACAATTTGTAATAATATTTTAATACTTTTTGAAATTATTTATTTATTCTTTTCTTTTTTTTTCTTCCTTTTTTTTTCTTCTCTACTTCCTCCTCTAGTGGTCGCTAAGCATTGGCAATGGCCGATGACCAGCCGAAGGCAAGGCCGATGAGGTCAACCTCGCCGACCGAAGGTAAAGCCGATGAGGTCAACCTTGCTGGCCTCGGGCGAGCCTCGCCTGCCCCTAGCGAGGCTGACCTCACCCAGCCATAGCGAGGCTCGTTGGGCTCGGGGCGAGCTTCTCCAGAGGTTGGTGAGGTCCTCTGGCCAGTTGCCGGGCCTCAATGACTGGCTAAAGGAGGAAGAAGGAAAGAAACAAAAGAAAGAGAAAGAAAAGAAAAATAACAAGAATGAAAAAAATTAAAATAATATGAAAAATTATCCACGTCAATGTCAGCCGAGCCACATAAGACAGCTGGCATCCATGTCAGTGATTTCCGGCTAAAATTAGCTGGATTGACTCAATTAGCAAATCATGAAAATGTTTAAGACTCGATTAGAATAATTGAAAAGATTTAGAATTGAATTGGCAAAAGTGTAATAGTTTTAGGACTTTTTGGATAATTTTTCAATTTTCTTATATTCACCTACTTTCTCCTAACCCTAATAAATCAAAGCCTTTTACCTAGTCAATAACGTGAAAGATGGTTTGTAGGACTTATAAGTCATAAATGTTCATCTCTTGAAGATCTCACAATAGCTGAGATAGGTAGGAGTTAGCTGAGAATGTTGCTTACAGAGATTCGGAAGAAAAATTGAAGAGTGGAAAGTCAAATTCACGATGAGTTCAACTTATTGGGGGCAAAAGCAAGAACCCAATTCTCTTTAACAACGATAGAATTTTATAGGGGCAATGTCCAATTGATCATGAGACTTTTTTATTTTGACTATTGGATCCATGGCGATCAAGACATGAAATGAATAAAGTTATGATATCATTTATTTAAAAGAATATATGGTCATCTCCCTCCAAGTTATTTCTTTTTCCATTTTGGGAAGCTTGAGCCCACAAAACATGGCTTCAACAGTTGAGAGCAAACATGATAATTATCGGCTTGTGCCTCATGCATGGCAAGTGATGGAAATATAAGGGCATGTAACCCCTACAAGCTACTACATGTTTTTGTTGGTTGTTTGTTTGTAAAACAAACAAAATAGTGCATTTTCCTTTGTCCCACATAGGAAAGTTTTGAGAAAGTGGGCCACTTTATAACTGTGAATATATTCTTGCTCTTTAGAGTGAAGACGATGGGGTGTGTGCTAGTCCACACAATACTCGCGTGCGGGTGCGCGAATAATTGCGCGATTTTGGCGCGATTATTAGGCGCACTTAGCACTTTGCACGCTTGCGCGGCCGCGGTTTAATTTGCACTAATCCCTTTATATTTTTATCTTATTTCGTAAGGTTATCTTATTAATTTTTTTATTATTTGAAAGGTTGTTTTTTTGTTTATTAAGTAATTTTTGAAATTATGAAAATTCGGAATTATATATTTATTTGTTTATTTATTTTATTCCGAATTTTACATGTGTCTTTCCAAGACAACTTTTGAAGATTATACTTGTTCGGTTTTCAATCTTTTACGAAGGGTTGCATCTATTCAGTTTGCAACTTCTTCCGAAGGAATATCTTTGTTAGCTTTGCAACCTTTCGTGAAGAGTTGCCAATGTTCTTTAAGACCGATTTCTATATATGTCAGTTTTTTGGCAAGAAAGAAAAGAGAGATCAATTTCTTCAAGTCTTCTTTCGAAAACTACAGCCATCATTTTCTTTTGTTTCCTAGAGAGACCCTGGAGAAATACTAGAATTGCTATCTAGTATTCTCAATTTGAGACTTTGTTGTATCCTGGAGGATTTTTGCCAGTGACCATTAGCAACAATTGTGGGGCAAATAAATCCTTAAGGAAAGTGATATCACACCTCAAAGTCCGACTTGATTGCTCTTTGATTCGAAGCCATTCAAATTTACAGCAATC